TACGTTTGCAGAAACCAAGAAGATAATAAAAAACTGCAACATAATATTATAAAATGAGGCCAATTCTGATCATCTATCTCATCAGTTCTTCTACAATTTATTCTTCATGTTTAAATTTGAGTACTTTCACAAAAAACAGTCTGCAACCCGAGTCATTATTTATTTTATATCTCTCACAAATTTACAGCCGTTCCGAATTGTATTGTAAACATGAACACATTCAATAAAGTCAAAACAATTAAAGATAAATTCTGGGATGACTTAAAGTCTTTCATAATTTACGCAAACCCTCGGAACACCTGTATACTTGAGGAGAACACTGCAACCACCGACAGGGTCACTATTTTACCCGATGTAAGGAATGGAATCAAGGGATACTCGTTACGAGGAAAATGTTCCATTACAATTTTGACGAATATGATCGGAACTCAGAATGACAATTATAAAAGAAGAGTCTTCATGAAAGTTAATCCCAATATGGTTTCCGGAACTTTGACTCATTCCACGATTATTTTACTTTCGAGAAATCCCCACAATTTATTCCACAAGACCCGTTTAGATAACCACTTTTCTGTGCGAGTATTTTTTATTCGAATTATGTTTTTCGATTCTTTCTTGGATGCTAAAGATCCAATTTTGTTATTCAAAAGTTATGAACTTCGTAGTGAAATTTATTACTTGTACCCGTACAGTGTAACTCAACCCTTTATTCCAATCTCTGAAATCGGAACCCAATTATTCCACGAAATATCACCGGCATCAAGAAGATTTCGGCCATTTTATTCTAACACCAAAGTTTCCATAGTAACGAATCGTTTAAATACAATCGATGAAGCTGTAAAAGAATGCACTTCCCATTTTCGAAGAAGGAGTTATGCGTGTCCCTCAAATGCGAGGAAAATTGATACGTTAGTAAAGATTTTTAACATTACTGGCAGCCTTACCAGCAATTTCGCAGCCTCTAGTCACGGATACATCGAATTGGGAACGGTTTTCAAACGATATCTTCCATATCAGCTGAGTCGAATGGAATATGAGTTGGAAAAAGGGTAATTGTTACATGAAGGTCTACAAGGTTGGTGGGAATTTGCTACAAAAACTGTGTCAATTTTCTGGTCGATGGGTATTAAATAAAGCTGAATTGCAATAAATTTAATATTACAATTATTGTAACAAATTTTAGTCAACGTTGTCCTGTCTAATAGTGGCTTCTCAAGATCATGATTTATTATCAGATTATTTCAATTTGCTAATTAATATTTAATTTAATAATTCCAGATTTGCAGTAACCTACTGCGATTACAATTATCGTCCTGAGAAATTCTCCTTCTCAATTTGGATAATACCGATTAGCCTCATGGTCTGGGTTGCTGTTCTGTCCACCGGAGTTTTCCTACTCTTCATAATGTGTCTCACAAAACTGAGGAACGACTCCCGAGACGAAATTACATTTCAAAAATTCTGGGGTACTGTGAGCCTTTCCATATTTGATATTTACTGTTTGTTATTACGTCAATCGGTTGCAGAAATATCTTCCCCAATAATTTTCCTTGTCCTCTCCTGTGGTTCGCTAATCCTTCTTTGCCAATACGAATTTTACGTCACTGCTGAACTCGTGGTTCCAGAAGTTCCACGAAAACTGGATACACTAACTCAGATCGTATTGGCGGGATATGTTCTTCATAACTCAAAACAGAAGGTTGATCTGGTACATGAAATGCTTAAAAACGATTTTGACAGGTACAAAATATCAAAATTTCTGTATAAATCGGTACAACAAACGAACCTGAGTCTGCTCCAGTTCCCCGAAATGTTTACCAAGAATAATCCAACATTTGCTTGGATTCTCAGCATAATCGGGGATTCAAAGGAGGAGTTGTTGCTCAAGATGGTTGTGGAGCTGGAGTTAAAAAATCAGTATTCGTGCTTCCTGACAAAAAATGTGGCCGGCAGAGTTGCCATTTTCAATAATTTTGCTATCGCAATGTCCAAGGAATTTAAAACCGCAGCGTCCCGATTAAATGAGGCGGGGTTTAGTGACGTGTGGAAAACGTGGGACACGTTCGGCGGGGAGTTGGGGTACCATACTAGGTACAAGGGAAAGTTGACGTATAACAAACGTATAGATTTTATCAGTTTTACTAATTTACTCTCGTTTAATATTTTGATTGTTTGTTTGCTCATGATCGCCATGGTGTGTTGGATTTGTGAAGTTTTATATGGCAGGAAAAGAAACACGGTTCAAGTTGTAAACCATTGGAGAGTGTGGTGTCGTAGGAGCAAATATGTTGAGTTTGCGAAATACGTGACAATCAAGGTTTCCAGTTTCAAGGAAATCTAGCTTAAGTAATCAAATGTATGGTATTACTAAACGATATTTAGATTCCTGTTCCGTACAGAACTTGTTTAACATGCACTGTTCCCTAACGTTCTCATTTATGGCTTGTCCCCAAAGTAAATTCAGTAAATTCGAATTTAATCTATTCCGGCATCTTAAACGCAGGTAACATAAAATTTACCAACAACATAAAGGAACTAATTGGCTGCAATAACAAGTTTTCAATTAGCGGCTACGGTGCTCTTATACCCGATAGCACGTCGGCGTTTACGAGCACTCTGCATTAGTGCTGACCACAATTTGCTGACACTGCGCTACTCATATTTGTCCACATTCGCTTAATTTCTTGAAAAGTCCTAATTTTCCTTGTCGTTGCGAATATTTCCTTGTGTCTAACCCCCAGAATCGTTGGATACCACGAACAGGTTGTACATTTCGGGGTTGTCTTCCTTTTGGACATCATTTCTGTTATTGGCGTCAAGAATTTCGGTTGTGATGTTTGCATAATTCTAAGTAGCAAGATCCGACCAGCAAATTACAACTTCATGGTCGTGATGCTGACGAATAAAGGTAAAAAATCGCTTCTTCATGCAGTCGTTTACGTAGACGCCAGCCGTCGTACTCCCTTCGGAAATGTATGCAGGGCAGATATTGCAATTCTCGTCTGTCAAACGTGGATTATTTTGGTGAATTTTAATTTTGAGTGGACCTGATTGTCATATCTCACATCTTCCTTAGATGCAGCATAGAAAAATTAACATCTAGGGAATACAGAAGGATCCAAAGTTACGTATGTCTCGTCGTTTAAAATGAGAATATTAGACTTTGGGTTTCTGTAAATTTTTGAAGAGCCTTTCTTCACTCGTGACTTTTGTAACATGTTTCTGGGATTTTCTCTTTGTATATGTTTTGAACCCCAGGGTGCAGTTCTTCATTCGCGATACTGTTCATTAGGATATAAATATTTAGGAGGGAAGCTTCACTACCTGTAACTCACCAATCTTGATGCCCTTTGGTTGGGTTGTAGTATCCAATGAGTGAACAAGAACCCACAAGGGGTTTGATGCCATGGCCACATTTGCGTCCGCCACACCCACTCAACGGCGCCAAAACACGAAAAAAGCCCTGTTTTCGGTCGCTTAAACCTCCACCAAAAATCCAATTTTGCTCGGATTTTGAAAATTCTTTCAAAATTGCACTGCCATATAGTTGCTTTAAAATGCATAACCACAAACTCAACTTTTTCAAAATTTTGAATTTTCGAAGACATACCCCTGGTCATGAAATTTTGAAAAATATGGAAAAAATTAAAAAAATTGAATTTGATGTCGGATATTACTGAGAAACTATCTGGGAGTATGAAGGTGACAGAATTTTCAAAATCCGAGCAAAATTGGATTTTTGGTGGAGGTTTAAGCGACCGAAAACAGGGCTTTTTTCGTGTTTTTGGCGCCGTTGAGTGGGTGTGGCGGACGCAAATGTGGCCATGGCATCAAACCCCTTGTGGGTTCTTGTTCACTTATTGGATACTACACTTTTCTCGGGGCCCGCAAGTTTCCATGGGTCGATATGGATTCGAGCGACAGGGAATATTTTCATATGTTACTTTTCCGATTCTTTATACCTTATAATTATACGAGAAATCGATGGTTCGGGGTTTCAATTGGCGACAAAGTCTAAAACCATTCGTCGTTTGTTGAAAGTTGCGACATTTTCGCAGTAGTGGACAACGCGTTTTTCAAAATCCTCGTTTTCAGAGCGTGTAATTTTCTAACCGTTTCACGGAAATCTCTGTAATTTTCAGAACTTCTTGCTTACATATTGTGCAATAAATTTATCCAAATTAATATTTTTGGATTAGCTTTTGTGTGTGAGCTGCAATATAATTTCGAATTTACTGAATTTACTTTTGGGACAAGCCATATTTTTCTTAGGTGAGACAAAAAAGTGCTTAGCAACTTGCCAAAAAAAAATCACCTAAGTATGTATTTAGGGGGGGTCATGAAAACGTTCCGTCAACGATTTCTCGGCTATATCTTAACCGATTTTGCTGAAATTTTGCAAGCTCCTAATTATGACCTTGTAGAGGGTCGGATTGAAGGAGCCCTAAGATCAGATGAATATTTCGACCACTTTGTCCAACAAAACTGATTCCGAAATCAGTTTAGTTGGGAAAACGTTTTGATTGGGTTGAAATTCAAAGCTGGGATATTGAAAATGATGTGTAGATAAACAATCTGTATCTTTTAGTCTTTGACAGCATTAATATCGGTTGAGAAATAGATAAGTTTTCCCAAGACAATCAGTTTTGGGTACCGTTGCGGGGCAAAAAAGGTGTTGGCGTTGTGTTATGGTATCCAGGTAACACAACGCCAACAATAAATGTGCAATTTATTCTATTACTATTCCTATGTCTCACCTAAGCTTCAAATTTTTTGATTTATATACTTGTATAAGCATACATCATACAGGTAAAAAACGAGTATATACCACCAGATACGTATTTACATATATCAAATTATTTCATGCAGATATGATAATATGTATGTATGTATTTAAGTGCATATGAACATGTTTATATACATATTTATATAGTTATTTTATTTATATATATTCATACTGTCCAAAGTATTGAACTGCATCACAGTGTGGTACATATACATACATATATTTTGGCACATACAGCTTGAGATAGCAGAAAACGTCAACGCATGTACATACATGTAATTCAGAACAAAATTATTACCAGTAAATAAATAAATCTCCTAGAATTATGAATACATCTTCATACATGTTAGTAAACAACTATGAGTCTAACGTCTTCCTTAGACGAAGGACTTCACTGCATACTCAAGCCCAAAAATTTAACCAGGATAATTTTACACCATTAATATTCGGATCCAGTCACAGTATTTATTCAACCTTAATTATATTAAACTGCCACAGTGGCATGTCGTTCACCGCCATGAAGTCGAGTATTACCTCGGCAGATGCTTTGCTAAACTGGAAAAGTAAATTCCGTTAAGAGTCAATAAATAATCTCAATTATTGTAAAATAATCAGAGTTCATAAATTCGACTCACGTTAAGATTAGAAATTTTCACATGGCTCATTTCACTCATAGCGGTGAGAAGTACTTTTGTCAGACTCATCTCGTCCTCCGACAAATCGTGGGCGACATCAGCATCCCCGTCGTACGTCATAATTTCCAGCCTACTCAGCCCTGAAGTTTAAACAGAAATATGAAATTAGTAAAAATTATATAAAACTGTTTATTTACTGTTCAGATTCTCCATATATGTGGGAATCTGAGGTTGTAACGTGGAGAGGTAGGTCTGCAGTTCAGTGGCATGAAGATGCAGATTGAACGCAATCAACATCTTCACATTGGCATTTCTGTCAATGAATGCAAAATTATATTTGTAAACGTTTGGAAGTTATGCAGGTAGAATATTCTACATAACTTCCAGGTTGTAAACTAAATGTATGCATAGTTGCATAATTTGTCTTATGTGCAAAGTACGTATCATGCAATGCATGCATGTAAATATATACTTGCAATGTTGATCAACAATGGTTTACATGCAAGTATTTATGGAATTCTAGGAAGTTGACTTTGTTTGTCTGGACAAACGTTTGTGTATTTAACATACACGAGTTCGAGTCCATCCGACCTGCAGTACAAGAGCAGAGACGGACCGGATACGAAACAACACGTGTTTATTATTTTGTCAAGCAGGCTGTTATGCACTAGCTTGTATAACAATTCTCAATTTGCCTCAAATGAGACTTGAGATTGTAACCGTTGTATTAAATTGCCCTCAATAATTAGTATCAAATTACCCATAATAAGTTAACAAGTATAACGTGTATCTGTGCCTGAATTAAGATTGAATAAATAACCTAGCTTCTACTAATACGAAATTAATCACTTGTAGTTGTGTACGTATTATTAGTCACCTTAGAACTTTATGCTCAAAACTAGTGCACAGTGCTTTCAAGTTGTAGTGCATTCAACATACACACTCACACATCATAACCGACGATAAAGTACAACTCATACACTACATAAGAATTACTTACGAATAAAAACATTTACATATATTAAATTATTAAAGTTATACAAAAATTATAAGATATTGCTTAATTTCAAACTGTGCGTTCTAATTAAATGAAGGTCTCATAAAATTATCCGTTTATGCGAATTCATGTTTTCCAGGGGTTAAAAAACTCACCCATATACAATTCTCTGGCATCTACAAGAGCCTTAATGACATCCCCAATTTGTTCGGGATACGTGGACAGCGCCAAATTCAAATGTTTCAGTCTCTTCCAACCCGCACAAACCTTCAGAACCACACCCAACTCCATTCCACTCATATCTCCTCTAAAATCCATCCTGTAAAACGTATCCACCTTCAATCTCTCCAAGTTAGGGAAGGCTGTCACCAATCCTGCCAAAAGACTGGCATCATGCGCCTCAATAATCGTTAAATCCCTCATACTTCCCAAAACGTTATTCGATTCACATACGTTTCGCAAAATTTCGTGTACCCATCGCGAATCTTTAAACGTCTTTCCAATCACGAGAGTACTCAAAACCGGAACGTTTTCCACATTTTGGAAGAGATCACTGCACTGAAACGTGTGCAACGTTTCGTTCCGCAATCTCTCTAATTTCCACATTCTCCTCGGCAATTGGAATCCTACTTTTTGAGGCAAGCTTCCATAGTCGTAACGCTCATTGACCCATTTGATTCCAGAATCGTTAACACAGCAAATGTTCAAGTGAACGAGTTGATCGCGCACTTGGTCCAACATTCTGGAAAGTTCCGACAGTTTTCGACAGTCTTCTTGTGCGATTGGCCCGCTAGGTTTCGTCGCGTCAAGGGCGATGGTGAGGGAGTCGAGTTGAGTGGAATGTCCTAAATCTGGGCAGACTCCCATCGGAAGAGTGACCTTTCCCAAATTTGGGGCCGCGTTCACAACAAGCTGAGCAAAACTTGGAAATAATGGGGCCACATTTCTCACACTGAGCGTAAAACTGGTCAAATTTGGTTTTAGGGAAAGCGGTACTTGCTCCTCTTCTGGGGCAGGATTCCGTCTTGTTGAGCACGCGAAAAATGTACAAGTGAGTCGAAATTGTTTTAAATTTGGACAGAAATTTTGCAAAATATGGAGGATTGTTTTCATGTAGAATTCTTGATCGACAGTAAGGTCCAAAATGTGGATCAGGTTGGTAAACTTGGCACAAAGGTTGGTTACTTCAGATGCGAAGGAATCCAACGGTCCGACCCGGGTGAACACGACGCATATCATTTTTGCAAGTCGTGCGTCGAATGTGTGGCACGAATCGTGAATTGAAGTCGACTCATTTTCAAAAATTGGGTTTGGTTTCAACCCAATTCTTGGGTGGGTGAGAGAGAGGGCAATTTCGTTCCAAAAGTGGGAAACGAGTCGACACGTTTTCAGCGGGGCTGACCTCTGTTTTAGTATTTCGGTCAAAATCTGTAAACAAAATGGGTAAATAATTATATTTCAAGTAGATAATTTCTATTTCGCAGGTTTCTCATAAACTTTAAAACAGAATTTCTTTAAAAAAAAATTGCGAAAAGTAATGTTTTTTTGGTAATTAGCATTAGCAAGCTGGCATTAAGAACTATAGGATCCATGCAAATTGTTTTTCATGAGTTCAGGAATAAATAAAAAGAGAACATGGACACAAATTTCGTAAACAATTTAGATTAGAAAATTATTCGTTTTGTTGCATAGTTTAAATTGAGTCGGTTACAATACTGGAGCTACATATAAGATTAAAGTTCTATTAGGTAATTTTAATTCTTTCATATTTACTAAATAATTAAAAATGAATTATGTACTAACGATTGGATTATTCAGTGCGGTCTCGTGCACGGTTAAGTTTCCTCTAGATGATTCCATTCCGATTAAATCCTGTTAAATTTCTTGCACTGATTAGCACATTGTAATTTATTAAAATGTCGATTAATAATATGTAGTATAAGTCCATTAAATAACATATTATTGCATATATAAATATATACATACATACATACATATTTGCCAAACAAATTAAAATGTGAAATAAAATTGACATAAAATTCATGCAGAATATATTGCGTCCTTGGAACAAAGGATGATTTTGGGTCATAGCGTTTTATACATTCGTTTCATGGATAACCAAAATGTAAATAATTGCAACAACGTTTTATGAAATGAAACTTACCTTAATATTTGGATGTGATGAATGTTCAGGTTTACGAGCAGGAAAAATTATTCATGTATTTGCACATTTAAATACTTACTTATTAGCGTTAAGTGTATTTACGTGACAAAAAATGTGGAAAGTATTGATTTGGATTTGTATTAAATTTTTTGTCAAGATCCAACATTTACAAAATAAAAATCCAATGGGTCCCAAACAGATGAGGGGAGGGTGAAAGAGAGGACTTAAATCCCTAATGTAACAGAGGGGAAGTCACCCTTCCCGATCGGACAGTGCGTTAAGGATGTGTCGTAATAATGCGCACCCTCACAATTTTAAATTAGTCTTTTAGCTCTTACCATTTATGGGACGCAGTGTGGTGTTGGACACGTTCAAGTATGTGGACATCATCTATCGAAATCCTATCGCATTTTGTACGCACGGTCTCTTTCGGGCATATTTTTACATACATATAAATACTACGAGACTCTGTACATGATTGTTTTATACATAGTGATTCATTGTCTTGTAAAATTCTATGAATATATTTCGACTTTGAACTTATGTACATATTTATTAGGGTATGTTTACATACATTTGCATGTGCATATTTAAGTCACAAGTTAATTTCATCTATGTAATTTTAATTTTAGTAAATGTACTTATGTGCACTATACTTCTTATGTACAAGCAGCGCAGTCTATGTACATAGTGTATGAAAAACATACATACATCTTAAATAGTAATGAAATTCTTAACTCTGATATTAAACTATTGAAGATATTAATGTCACATATCGACTAATTTATTAAAGACAAGAAACACCCCTTTTAAAGACATGATTAACTCATAACAGATCTTGGTTCAACAATCCATACACACCAAATACTTAGCTCATCATACATCATGATGACATTGCACATTCATCGCATCATACAAACATACATAATATTACGTTTGTGCATAGTTTAATCTAATTAAATTTAACATAAACACTTAATAATATTTTTTCACTCCTGCTCCAAATCCTGCTATTAAATATGCAAGGGCTGCAGTTTCTATTGAGTGTACACAAAAGAAAGTCTCACTTTGCCCGCTTGATTTCTGGCTTTGAAAAAAAGCTCAAAAATTTGTCGCTTATTTGGCTTGATAGGGAATTTCATTAGTGTGAAATATCAGAAAACCAAAATTTGATAACTTCATTCGTTAAAAAATGAGAGCCAAAAACTCCCCGGAAGTTGCAAACTGTGTTTGCCAAAAGTACGAAAATGTGTTTTTTTTGTAACTGAAAAAACACTCGAAACTATTTTATTCTCGAAGAAATGCACCGGAAACCAATTTGGGGTATACTGGGGAGGTATGAGGAAAGCGAAAATGCTGATTTTACATAATCAAATTTCTGACCTGTCCTCCTTAGGTCAACGTAAAACTTGCAGCATGTGATGAGAGCGTACATACGCAACCCCAACATTCCAATGCAAGTTGTGGCATATACGGTGGTGATATCAAAACCCTATGTGTAGAAAATTAAAGCCAATAAGTTGGACTTCAAGAAATATAAGCCAAACCTGACCCTAAAATACAATAGTAATCAAAAACATTAGCTAAACCCAGCGGTCCAAATCTTTTCAAAAAAGTGCTAAAGCAAAAACCACCCAAGATAATCGTCACGTATCACAAAAAGTACTGCCCTGCAGATCCTAAAGTCGTTGATGGTGTCAAGTACTACTCTTTTGCTAATCAAAAAAGTGTACCAGAAATATGTAAGTTCAAGGTCAAGTAAAAATTTGCTAAGAAGTATCTGATATGGCTCGCCGTTGCTGAAAATGGAGACGGGTAAAAGCCAGTCATTATTATCAAGACCTGGATTTTCTAACTTTACCCAAATAGCGCATTTTGAAGAGATTGGTCTCCTTGATCGAAAACAAGCAAGTTTTGTTTTGGTCGGACACGGCAACATCCCACTACGACAAGATTGTTACGGACTGCCTTAATGTCAAAAAAGTCGACTAAGTACAAAAAAAGGATAACACCTCCAATATTCGACACGCTCGCCTAATTGAATGATTTTGGACACAAACCAAGAGGGAATATTCTAAGCTACGAAAATCATCAAATTTCAGAGTATATGCGCAGATCATGCGAGGAAGGATCAAAAGCGTTGCGGAAAACAGTGGCAAAACCCATTTGGCGCCGGGTCGGAAAAGGCTTCGCTCAATCGGTAGGAAGTGAGTATTCTGGATACTAGTGGACCGTCTTTGGTTGGTATAATATGCATCTCCAAATTCTCCAAATTAAATTTACTTTCATTACTGAATACTGAATTTACAGATCAAAAACCATGTAGGACATTCTTTTGTGTACAGTCAATAGAAATTCATGTGTTAGTTAATTCGCATAAGTGACATATGTATGTAAGAAGCAAGTGCTAATAACACGCGTCAGGTTGTATGTTTGTACGATTAGTGAAGCAGCGGCGTACTGCCGTTGGCGGGATGGCGTGCTTACAATCAGCATAATTAAGTAATTATGATAAATACGCTATAACCTTTCCCTCTTTTTGAAAGAGAATCTTGCATCTAATTTTTAATGGTTTTTCCTGAACTGAATGCGATTTCCTGAACATAGTGGTTAACGGTACGTGATCTTGCAAAATATACATAGTATGGAATCAATACTTATTTAAATGTGCATCCAAACAACTTTTTTTTTACCTCAGCCTCTCAACCAAATCCAGTTCATACATATGTACAGTGTCGGACAGATGTCTACGTCCACATAGTCGCGTCAATTTCATTTTCAAATTGTCACTGAACTACTGAACCAATTTTCATCATTGATATATCAAATTCTCACCAATTTAACGTAATTTCATAGCACATTATTAGTTTTCCCCTAAAAAAATTTATTTTAGGCCAGAGATGTATTTTAATTCAAAATGAAAACAATTGGATGGACAAAAATCAACGTCCAGTCAGAGAAAACATACAAAAAAAACTGTAATTTATAAGGAATGTTATAACAATTAATTTTTAATATTTGGTTGGGCCTCCGTTCGCTTTAAGGACGGCTTCAAGGCGTCGAGTCATAGAGTTTGCCAAATTCTTGGTCACATCTTCAGAAATGGTTTCCCAAACTTCACGAATTCTGGATTTTAGGCCCGGAATTCCTGAAAAAGATTTTTTTCTTATTTCTCTTTCAATGTGGTCCCACAGATGCTCAATGGGATTCAAGTCTGGAGATTGGGGAGGCCATTCTAGCTTCGGAATTTTTTTTCTTGAAGTATTCCATGGTGGACGTGGCAGAGTGTTTCGGATCGTTGTCTTGTTGGAAGGCAAATCGTCGTCCAAGTCCAAGTTTTCGAACAGATTCCTGGATATTACGGTCAAGTATTCCCTGGTACTTGTATTGGTCCATAATTCCGTCAACAAATTCCATTTTTCCTGCCCCACTTGAAGCCATGCATCCCCACACCATTACCGACCCGCCGCCGTGCTTAACTGTGGGGTTGAGATTTTTTGGATTCAAAGCTTCTTTTGGATATCTCCACACTCTACGACGCCCATCTGACCCAAAGACATTGAACTTTGACTCGTCAGTCCATAAAATATGTCCCAGAATGTTTGTGGCTTGGAAATGTGGTCTCTGGCAAACTTCACTCGTTTGGTTGCATTCCTCGGTACAATAAGAGGCTTCCTGACTGCTCTGTGGGATTTCAAATTTCCCTTATTCAGTGTTCTTTGGATGGTCATAGGACTAACCTGTTTGCCGAACATCTCCTTGATCTCGGTAGCTTTGGAGCACTAAGTGAGGGTGTAACGTTGACTTTGTTGAGCACGTGGCGTACTTCTCGGTGAACCAAAATCGGTTTTCGACCACTTCTGACCTTGTTTTGGACTGAACCATTAGCTCTAAAGTTCTTAATGATTGTCTGGATGGTTGTCCTTGCTAATTTATACTTGGTCCCTATTTGTCTCTGCGACAGCCCCCCTTTTTGTCCACCCTTCCAGTCCTGAATGACAAGATCTCGAATAGCAATAGGAATTTCCTTGCGTGTCGACGCCATCATATTTTTCTGGAAGAAAATTATTTAAAAATTAATGCGGCATATGTTATTGATAGATTTATTAAGTTACCTGATTTTATAAATTGGAGAGATTTTTCTTGTTGACAATTAAAGTGAAGTGGACGTAGACTTTTGTCCGCTCAAATTTCATCCTCTCTCGCTCTGCACTATGATTCTCAGTTTTCCCAGAATTTTCAGAAATAACTCATATGTTTTATGAAATTACGTTAAATTTGTGAGAATTTGATATATCAATGATGAAAATTGGTTCAGTAGTTCAGTGACAATTTGAAAATGAAATTGACGCGACTATGTGGACGTAGACATCTGTCCGACACTGTAGTCGTAAAGAAAGCCAACTAAATTCTAAGCAGAACCGGTTAAAAAAGAGAAATAATTTTTGCCCCACGTCCATGACATGATATTCAAATTTATTAAGGGGTGAAACCCCTTTATAAGATCGTTATGTCCGTCCGTCTGTCCGTCCGTCCGTCCGTTGGTCCGATAACTCTCGAACGAAAAGACATAGAAACTTGAAATTTTCAACATAAACTCTTAACGTCAAGGGACAGATCGAGTTCGAAGATGGACCCTGTAGGTCACACCCTTCTGTGTCAAACACGGTCAAAAAAAGTTCAAAAAAGGTCACATAACGTTCAAGTGCATATAGATATCAATCCGAATGGAAATTTAACCCCAAATTCAATGCTGACCATCATTTTGACCTCAGAGGTCACAGAAGGTCGAAAAAGTTCACATGACGTTCAAGTGCATATGGATATCAATCCGAATGAAAATTTAACCCCAAATTCAATGGTGAACATCATTTTGACCTCAGAGGTCACAGAAGGTCAAAAAAGGTCAAAAAAGTTCACATAACGTTAAAGTGCATATGGATATCAATCCGAATGGGAATTTAACAATTCACTTTTTATATAATTATCGTGGAGTTTACGTAATACGGTTTTATGACGTGGTTTCACCCCTTGGTTACATGCCTTTGTAACGGTTTATTTAAGCATTTACTTGATAAACTTGATCTGTCGTGGTTAGGTCTTCTGCATGTCGAGTCGCTGCTGTGACATTTAAGCATTTTTTAATCAATTGAAATTCTATTATCATGAAATATTTATTTCTGTTTGTGAAATGTCGAAATTTTTGGATATTTTAGTCATTTTTGTACTCTCTGTCTTAGCCTATTCAGTTCTTCCGTTCTTCGCCGTGTTTATGGGGATAAGCCTGGTTTGGAGAAAGTGTGTAAATATCTCTGTACAAGTAATGATAGCACGAGGTGAAACGTGGACCATGCTACCGGCCAGTGGAACGAGTATGAGTGGGTTATTAATATATAAAAAACATACAGTTCAAATTTTGACCACAACAATTTTGTTGAGGAAAGGAATGAAAGTGTCAAGAATTTACACATTTTTTAGTTCGCTATCAATAGCAGGACGAAAAGTAAATTTAGTCCTAAATAATTTTCAGCGAACAAGGCACAGAAATTCATGCAAAGTTTTCACTTTTCTTGAAGATTTACCTGCTTAAAGCTATACTAGTGCTTATTCTGGGATCGCACACTTGTTTTTTTTAAAGAAATCTCAAATTTTACTTGGCATTATTTAAGTAAGATTTCCTTAAATTATAAAACACTACTTTGTAGATTGAAGCAAGTCGGCCAGACGCCGAAAAAAAAACTTTCGTACGTCAATTTCCAATTCAAAAGGTAAATAAATTCCAAATTAAACATTTTCAGTTACCACGTCTCCCTACGGACCTCACTCCTGGTCACTCTTCGTGACGATGCAAGTCAATCAGAAAACTGTAAGAGAAGACTTTAATCACAACGTTGTACAAAAACTGGAACGGAATTCCGCCTCTAGACGACTTTATCCCGAGCTAAAGTCCTGTCTGACGGAACGGTTTGGCTACTATTTTTGGAAGCAGTGTCCAACTTTTAATATTGAGGACCACATAAACTACTTAGGTAGGTGGGAGTAAATTTATACATCTGTATATAAATAGCTATATATATAGCTGGCTTCCAGACAAGCATAACCACAAATTGGTAGTAATTATACATTTCTGGAAGCACATTTTGTCCTATTTATCCCGGCCACATGCACGCATCGTCTGGATGTAAATTACTTGGCCAGATATTCAACAGCGAGCTCCGCAAGTTGTCGTGGTGAAAATGTTATTGCGTCGTTTGCGCCATGTCTGACGGGCGGTGTATCAGTTGCTCAACTGATCTTGACTAAATATTTACATAACCCATAGCATGAATGCATATTCTTGTTGATTGAAAGTCGGACCGCTTTATTTCACATAACTTATAGATAAATATTATTCCTGAAAATTTTAATTTTAATTTCTATCTCGTCAGATTGTCCAGAAATTCAGAAGTTTGACGATGCCCCAGATCTGAACAAACTCACCAACTATTTACTCCGTGGGAGGAGGTGGACAGAGGGCAAACCGTTGTGGGAGGTGCTCCTCTTACAAGATAAGGATGGCAAAAGCCTCATCATTTTCAGAATGCACCACGTAATCGGAGATGGATGGAGCGTTCTGAAAATTTGGGAAAAAGTATTCACCACACGAGATGTTCGTCCAGGTTTACAAGGAGCACCGGTCCAAACCCTGAGAGAGGAAGGAAACCTGTCAAAACAAATGTTTTCTGGAATTAAGACGCCGCACCAGCTGGTAAAATTATTCCGGTCCCTGAGCAAGAATCGCGGTAAAATTCCGAAAACCGGTAAGCGATTTGATCCAATTTTTTAAACAAAGTTGATACAGGATACAAGTTAAATTAAATTTGTGCAAAATTATTTACGGATAAAATTATTGGTGAAGTGATGTAACAATCTTTTGACTAGCTCAAATAGCTCCATCTGCCGAGGGCATTTGCGCAGCATCGAGGGAAGGCCTCCCAATGATTGAGATGAAAGCGATACGAGCTAAATTCGGTGTTCATTTTTTTCCCGTGTTACTCGCCGGTCTGGCAGGTGCAGTTCGACAGAACTTTGTCGCCCACAAGGTGAATATACCTGAGAGCATCCCCGTGTTAAGTGTAATTCCAAGACCTTGTCATCCTGAAAAAAGTCGGAATCATGGGTAGGTACAGAGCAATTAGGTACATCGAAATTAATATTTTAAGGGTAATTAAGTCGTAATGTTGGGAAATCATAAGAATTTTCCTGCCTTTATTTTGTGGAAAATATGTAACTGTGTAAATCCAAAAATTAAAATATTAAATTGGCCCGGGTTACATTTAAATTTTTTCCAGAACAGTGTGCATAATTCTTCTCCCGACTGGAGATCCAGTCCAACGTTTGATGATGATTTCTGAAAGCGTAAAGACCTACACGAAGTCCAGTCTGCCGGATTTCCTCTATTGGATTGGTATGTTCGCCGGCTGTTTGCCGCTACCTTTGGTTCGGGTGATGAATAAAAAGCCAACAAATGTGATTCCACTCGTCCTCACGAATGTCGTGGGACCACCGAACCGATGTTGGGTGGCGGGGAGTGAAATTGAAAGGATACAAATGGGACAAAATATTCTGTTCGAATCTTCGTCAGGTAAATAATCCGGGTAATTCCATTAGATATGAATATGCATTCCGCTTCTAATAACATACGAATTTGGGTTTATTGGTGCAAATCCCTTTCGCACATTTCGTTCAAAATCGTCTAACCTTTGGAATATTGTTACGCCAAGGAGAACACACTGTACAAACAAAAAACAAAATATAAAATGTGGTGGGGTAATTGGAAACAAACTTGAGGAAATCTTATTATTCGTAATCGTAAAAAACAGTTGTGGATATAATTTTTACAAATATGTTTACAAATAGTTCCGACCGTAGCATACAATTTTATCTAGATAATTTTAGCAAAAACTCAAAATATTTTTCAGCCGCTGTATGTGTCCCATTCGATTAAGATCTGTTAAGGGATGAATATGTAAATACGTATTACTTGCATTGCATGAAAACCCTGCGCCGTTTAAAACTAGAGAGCGTTTTCTTTTCCTCCAGGATTTTCGTTTGGCGTTGCTTTCTTGAGTTATGAAAGTGAAACGACCCTTGGAACGATTGGACTGGATGTAAACTTTCCATCGCTGACCATTCCACATGCCATTTTGGACCATTGTACTGCCGAGTGGAAAGGTTTACTGGATACGACATTCGCCATTACGAAAAATGACGACGTTACATCTCAATCTATCACAGTTTAATTCACCCCGATTTGTATTCCATATTTAAAATGTTTGCGTTCATTGCGGGTAATAATTCAGTCAAACATGGCAATATATATGTATTATTATAGCTTGAAGTTATGATTCAATAAATTGTATTTTTGTACAGATTTTTGTATGTGTATCTACCTCATATTTTATTCTTCAATTATTTAATTTTGTCGTTATATAGGGCTGGGTTTTTATATATTTGAAAAACTGATTTTCATAATATTTATTACAACGCTAAACGTAAAATTTGAAGCACTAACTCTTTAATAATTTGTACCTAATTGCCGTATTAATGGTTGCAAACGTCTTTAAATGATAAGCATATGTATACCATAAATATTACAGGTTTTTATTTATGTTAGACTATACATTTAAATATTTATTTAACTAGGAATACTCAAAAGGTGTGCCCCGGCCGCAGGGTTCTCATCAATACTAAAATGTGGACAATACCTAGTTGCGCATCAAAAAATTCGAGACAGGTATTTATTTAATTTCCACAGGGGTGAATTGATAAATGTATTAATTTAAATACGTGTGGAATGCACACACTCCAAACTAATAAGAAATCAAAGTCAGATTTCGAAATTTCCATCTGTGATATAAATGACAGCCTAGAGTCTGGATGGACATTGGTGGGTTGTGGCACGTCGCTTTTTGTTGGATATTCTACCCTAACTTTCAAAATCGAGTGTAACATGGACTATAAACCTGCTTCATCTTTAGAGTAGACCTACATAGATCTACGAATTTTATTGAATCTTTTGATGAAAAAAATTTTAATCAAGTTTTACGAAAAGTTATTGTAGAGAGAAAAAAGCACAAGGAATTATTGAGTGGCGACAGGTCTGGATAACGGTTCCACCGCACGAAAGCGCTGAAACCTTCCGAAGGTCTGGTGCAAATTCCGATTTTCTTACAGACTGGACCGTAAAGTATGTGTGACCAGCTACAGGACCTTCTCGACAAAAGCCTTAGCTTATGGTGCACCCATCTGTGGAAAAAGTTCTAATTTGCATCCATCCCACGACTTACGGCACTCCACAGCTTCTCAAACTCGCAATAATGAGTAATTTTGAACGTAGATTGTTGTATCGTGAATGCCTGCTATCCGCTGCAAGTTTGTCTGGTCGCCTGGTCCCTCCAGTATTTGTTCGACCCTTAGGAAATTATCATACGCGACGTTGAAGTTTTAACTAAAACTACTACCATGACGTTTGCCCATTCTGACACTACCCCCATAGCGCCAATTGATTTGAGTATCTGAGAGACTTTGGTTGTTAAAAGTGCGTTGCAGAATTTACGGATTAAACGGCCAACGGTGGGAGAATGGAGTTCTACATCATTGAAACGCCAAAGGGGTTTGAACAGAATCCCACGCCTTTTACCTGATTTGGAGTCAACAGGTTTATTGGTTCCATTATATGCCCTCATTCATACCGGGCACTACTGCTAGGACGTGTGCAAATTCTGACACTACGCCGAAGGCGCCGATTGATGTGAATATCGGGCAGAATGTAAAACTTTGGTCACTAAAAATGCATTACAGCTTTTGCACGTCAATCGACGAAAGTAGGGAGAATCGGGAGTTCTTCATCATTAGAACCCCATACGTTTTACCCGATTTGGAGTTATAAAGAGTTGATAAAGAGTTATATTCGTTCCTTTAGCTGCCATCATTCATACCGGGTACTACTGCCACGACGTTTGCCTATCCCGACACTACCCCCAGAGCGCCGATTGTTTCGCTAAGGAGGGAAGCTTCATTAATTGCCAGTTATCAATGTTACCATCCTTTTGATATGTTGTACTGTCCAGCGAGTGAACAAAATCCCACAAGTGGTTTGATTCCATGGCCACATTTACGCCCGCCACACGCGGGCACGCCCGCGTGAATTTTCGAAGACATACCCCCAGTAATGAAATTTGGAAAAATATTCAAAAAATTACAAAAATTGAGTTTGACGTGGAATATTGCTGAGCACCTATCTGGGAGTATAACGGTGAAACAATTTTCAAAATCCGAGCTAAATTTGATTTTTGGTGGATGTTTAAGCAACAGAAAACAGGGCTTTTTTCGTATTTTTCGCTCCGTTGAAAGGGTGTGGCAGGCGCAAATGTGGCCATGGCATCAAACCCCTTATGGGTTCTTGTTCACTCATGTAATACTACAACATATCCAAAGGACAACAAGATTGTTGATTGGCAACTAGTGAAGCATCCCACCTAAGTGAAAACCTGTATAACAGCGTTACTCCTCTGCCCATTAATAAATAATATATTTTACAAATTTTAAGTTCCCAAAGTTCGCACTTAAAGTTGAAGATAAATACACAAACATTAATATGGATGAGTTTTAAACACTTAAATAAACAAATTCAATACTCTAAGACATACGAGCCTAATTCGAATATTTATAAATATGTCTTACTAATAAATAAATTAACCATTTGACGAAACGTTTGTCGAAATAGAAACCTAGGATATTTATCTGTATACATTCAGACAGCAAATCAGGTCGATTACTTATGTATGTTAATTGCATAGAATAAATAAAAGCAATGTGTCGTTTAATCTTGATATTTTAAGTCGACCTATAACAGTCAAATTTCGGAAATATCAAAGAAAAAGCGACGAAAGCGAATTTTCATGTGAATCATGGAGATTTATGATTCACTTATTTACATATGTATGTAGTCATTACTGATTTCGATATTTGGTTTTTGGATTTTTTTTATTTTAAAAATTCTAACTGCGTTTAAGTCCACTATGTCCATAAATCTGCATGGCAGGAAAATGTGTCAATGTTTTAGCTTTCTCGTAGGCGAGGCTCAAATTAAACTCTCGAAGTCAGAAAATGGTCAGGTAGATATGTACATACATAAATGATTAGCTAATGATTGACAAAATATAGTCACCAGTTTTGGGAATCGAGCTACTTTTACATACATACTGGGCCCACTGTAACTGTAAGTGGCTGTTTTCTTCGAAACCGACAGAGATAATGAAAATCTGATGATTGCATTGGATTCCCCGTGCGATTTTGCATAAGTACCATAAATCAGGTTTTTACTATTTGCAATGCAAATTCGCATGGAAAATGTTGAATGGAAGCGGGCGGCGAAAATTTTTCATTACAAAAATGGGGAGAGAAATGGCGAATTTTAAAAGTGTGGCAGGAATCGAACGAGCCGTATAATTTAGCCCAACAGACTATAAAGACGTTCATGGGGACGGGGTGGACTAAGAACAGTCGAAGAAAAAAGTTTTGAAATCCTACAAGGACCACACCCATCATGAAGGCGCTGAAGGATGGAATCCGAAGAAATTCACGAAATTCCAACGGAAACCAACCTCACAGCTGACAGTGTAGAAGCAGATTATTCAATGAGTGCTTAAATTGAACCTTAGACTTAGGACTTTGAAATGTGGTACTTGCCACATGCCGACCATCCCCCAAAGGGAAACCAGATTAAAGAAACCCAGGAGTGACTTCAAGCGGTACGCTCAGAAAAAGTGACGAGGATTCTATTTACAGATGAGGAGATTTTCACATAGGAAAAATATTTTAACAAGCGAGTTGGCCTTATCTACGCCAAATCTGTCAGAGACATCCCCCAATATAGACAAAAGGTCAGAAAGCCACATTATCCAAGCTTTGTGATGATTTTGGCAGGTGGGAGCTAATTGGTTCAATTTCTCTACATTTTGTTGAAAATGGGGGGAAGGTGGGGGGGATCAAATTTCTTAAAATACGTTTTCGAGTCCGCGGTACATCCCCTAAGTGAGATCCAATTCATTGAAGTCGACTGGACCTTGCAGTAGGACTAGGAATCAGCTTATAGTGCAAAAAATGACCCAAGCGTGGGTAAAAAACAAAATTCCGAACTTTTCCTCCTCTCGGAAATGGTAATTCTACTTTCTGGATTTGAATCTCCGGATTATGAAAAATGGTTAAAGTTAGGGGCAAATGTGTGTTCTAAGCCTCGTAGAAGTGTAGACATCGGAAAAAAATTTGTGACCACGGAATGGAACACTTTGCCCAGGAATTAGTGCGTGCTTCAGAGGAGAACTGCAGGCGGTTTCCTCAGCGCTGCATTAATGGCAGGGGAGGAAATTTCGAAAACTAAAAATTGTTTTCTACTCAGAAATTAACTGGCTTTCGGTTAAAATTAACTCGAAATTCGTAACATAAAAACTGTTGAAGCCACAGGGTTTCATTTCACTTACAGTTTCAGTGGGCCACCTAGTATATGTATGCGCGTAGCAAAATATGTTAAAATCTGTTGGACAACGCGAATTGATAAAGGCATCAAGTTAAATAGAAACGAATTATTTCGGAATGTCTGCATGGACTTACAAATGTCTTTAGCTTTCGAAATTATTTATCGATATAATTTACTTGATTGATTAATTAATTACATGTATACAGATTTACTAATTGTTGATTGTTCCTGACTGAAATGTACAAATAGCCGTCGCATCCATGTCATAGAATTTGCAATTTTGTAAAATTAATGTCCGCAGATACATACATGTATGTAATTTCCGGCCAACATTCGACATTTGTTGTTAACAGAAGTTCAGCCAAAGTTCACATTTGTGAATTATCACGTAACTAAATATCGTTTACGTTTGCAAAGTACACGAAATATAGTCGCACCCCTCGTGACGTCAACAAACCTGCTATACTATGGTACATGCTAAATCAATAGACCATCAGCCTATGTAATTCATACCCAAAGGTTAATTGGCGCACCTCTCCATAACTAATAACATGTAAACTTTGAAAATTTATTGCGAGGTCAGTTGTTGATGGAATTTCAAAATTCCCCATGTTTTGGAAACTTTGAAGCCTTTGGCGAAATATACATTCCCAGATTTTTGAAATTCATCCCCTCCAATCGGTTATAAAGGTCAAAAGGTCAAAAAATGAGGGCGCATTTATCCAATGAAATTTACAATTTGACGACGGAATTCGAATTACC